TACCCTATCCTATCTTAATAAAGGCAAAATGTCCCCCCAAAAAAACAAATTAGTTAACAATAACGTTTTTTGCGATTACAATTTCAGATTAGATAAGAGAGAGTCAACTAACAGTGGTCAATGCAAAATAATTGGATTTACTGTAGATACATTAATGGTATTGAAAAATAATAAAGAGTGTAAAGCAATAATAATAAAAATATAAAGTAAAAATAGTGTAAAAGTATTCATGGAAAGAGCCTCCAAACAGTAAATTCCAACAGCAACTGCTCTTGTGGGACAATAACTAACTCAAATCAAATAAACATCAGTACACGTCCCTCGTGCTCTGAAGATGTTCACTCATTAAATGAACACAGAATCGCATGGATTAATCCATCAGCAAAACTCAAAGCAACAAAACATTTCTTCCCACTCCAGTCTTGCTGATTTGTGTATGCACCGTTTTCTCACCTCACTTTCTCTCTGCTTCACATATTTCACTGATTTTCTAATTTCTTTCCTTTCATATGAAGCATCACTCCCTTTCACCCGCCTTGGTATTCTGTCGTTAACTTTCTTTTCTACGCATACCTGCAGTTTATGGCTTTAAACTTTAATATGAGTGCAGGGAAAGGTAGATACTACAGTGGAGTGGATGTCAGTACATTTTTATAATATTACAGCTCAGATTGGGGGTGATTGGCTGGTTTTATTGACCTCAGATGTACCCTATAATCTGATTGGTACACAAAGTGGATGGTAACTTAATAAAGCTGTGAAATGGCTCCCAGAAATCTGCACTAACACACACAGCGAGAGAGAGAGACGTGTTGTTAGAGCATGCTGACAGGAGCTCATATAGAAAGGAAAGAAGAGAGCAGGAGACATAGAGAGGACAAAGGGAAGAGAAGGATGTGGCAAGAGGAAAAAGCAGCAATAAATCCCTCTTGAAGATCTTTAACAGAAGTCACTTTCTCTTATCCCAGCTTAATATTTAGAGACAACTATAAGCATGTCATCTGTAGGTTGATTTCCCTTTAGAGTAAATACTGTGAGACGATCAAAACGATATTTGAAAATACTGACCAGCCCGACACAGCAACACTGGCTCAACCATTGGCATTAATTTGTTTAAACTGATACTTAACTAATTTGTATTCTTTAACAAAACACATGTGAGTAGCATACCTTGCCGTGCTGTCCCATCCTCTCCAGGCAGGCAACTGCATCCTCCCAGAGTTCCAGTCGTTCGTAGATTAGCAGCGCAGAACTTGTCAGGCCCAAATCAGTCAACAGACTCGCCAACTGCCTCTAAACACACACAGACACACAAACAGCGAGCCAAGATCAGTCAACATACAGCCCACCTGCCGCTAAATACACACAGCATGTGGGAGGCACTCAAAAATATATATTTAGCATGTGGACACAGCCAAAAATATTCAAAATAAACAAATAAAAGGAATGAGTTTAGTGATTTTTATTTCACTTTTGGTTTATTTTGGCACTTCAGTTAAATTACAGATAACACCAGGGGGTGTTAAGCTATAAGCATAAATAAGCTATTTTATTTGGGGGGCAACAGTGGCAATTACCCCCTCCTGGTGATGCATCTGAAGCATCTGAAATGACCAAATAAGCACTCTAGTATTTTTTAACATGTTATTTCAGATTTTATTTTTACATTATTTACATTATATTTATACACTATATTTATTTACCTTGAATGGGGTTCAAATCACGACATTCGATACATTAGAGATACATTTGACATATACAGTTATGGCTTTTTGCTTCACCAAAAAAAAAAGTAACAAGTTTGGAGTGACATTATGGGTGTCATAGTCATGACATAATTGGACAGTGTTTTAGACAAAACATCTTAAAAAAAAAATAAAAAATATAATTAAAAATAAATAAAATTAAAATGTCCTTCAGCAGGTCACCTACACTTCTCTACACCTTCCCAAGGATACACATTGCCTCTCTCTCTCTCTCTCTCACACACACACCATCTTCTCTCTCATTTTCTCTGTCTTTTCTCTCTCTCACCCTCTTTCTGAAAGGATGCATTGCGCGGACGGCCATCTATCTCCACAATGTCATGCTTCACAGTCAGAGCTATATATACATCTGTGCTATTAATGACCCTCGCCTGTCTCTGATGAATGCTACTGGTTAAACGTGTGTTTACACTCTTTCAACTTTTTCTGTCATTCACAGATCATTTGAGAACGGATGGATGAAGTGCCAAAAAGGATGAAGAGTCGTAGGCTGTGTCCATGTATTTCTGATAATAAACATACTGAGATGTGCACAGGCCCCACTGGAGATCTTCTACTGAAGTTTATGATGGCGCTGTATAAAACTGCTGTATTTGTGGAGAGTAAACACACACTGAACCGACGTCACCTTCGACCTCGGATATCAGCAAAACATCACAGACACGTAGCTGC